CAACAGACCTAGGTTACAGACCAGGTCCAGAGTTGTCTGCAGAGTAGACAGTTTGGAGCAAGGACCTCACTATTTCCTAAGATCACTGCTATATTTTGATTGGGAGCAAGCTACGTGTGATTTTTACATGGACCATGCTGCAGCTTGGAGAAGGCTGGGGGAAAAGTGCTGGGGATATGGCCCTGTGGGAGAGGTCACTGGGTTCAATCCCCGGTACTGCCAAAACAAAAACAAAACAATAATAATGAAACAACAGGCCAAGGGAGTGCGCCATGAGCATAGAAAACTACAGCTTGGTTAGGGACTGAGAAAGGTGGGAAGGAAGGAAAAGAAACCAAAGAAAGAAATCTCCAGGCTAAATGGCTTGAAAATTCTACCAAACATACAAGAAGAAATAATATGTACTCTACAATCTCTTCAAAATCAAAAAGGATGGAATGAATGCTCCCCAAATCATTTCATGAGGCCTATCAGCATTAACACCAAACAAACAGTATAAGAAAGGAAGACAATACCAACATTTCCCATAAATATAAATGCAAAAATCTTAACAAACTGAACCCAGGAATATATAAACAGAATACACTGTGAACCAACTGGGACTTATTCTGGGAAGGCAACACTGGGCCAACATCTGAAAAAAATCAATCAACATAATCAACTACATTAACAGTCTAAAGAAGAAAAACTTTATGATCATAGCCAATGATCTAATTTTATTTTTTCCTTAAATTCAACATCCATTCTATAAACAGAAAGAAACTTCTTCAACTTGATAAAGGTCATCTAAAAAAAATATCCTACAGGCTACACTACTCTTAATGGTGAGAAAATGAAACTTTCCCCAAAACCGAAACAAAGCAAGAAAATTCCCTCACAACTCTTCATCAACATTGTATTGGAAGTCTATCTAGAGTAATTAGGCAAGAGAAATAAATCAAAGACCCAAAAACTGGAAAGAAGAAATAAAACTGCCCCTATGTACAAAAAACATGATTATCTGCATAGAAAATCCTAAGAAATCCATCATAAAATTCCTTCAATTAATAAATGCAATGTTACAGAGTACAAGAAGTTCAGCTAATTTGTATCAGTAATATATCAATATGGTTGATGTAAAAAAAAAAAAAA